TTTTTTAAGTAATACAAATAGCTTCTGCTACATATTCTAGAAGTGATTCCAGGTATTTTTTATATCCTACTCTACTAAACTTTCCTTAGAGACGACTACGTCATAGATCTAGATAATAAAATGTTTCTCAAAAAAGCTTAATAGGTTATTACTCCTTTTTTTTAAATCGGTTAACAATGACCTTTAAACGTACAATTTAAACTTGCACGTGATGTATTGTTCGAGAAAAGTATTAATTTGAATTTTTACCGTTTTTAGAGACCTAAACGATTTCATTATTAATCTTTCAAATCATAATATTATCAAATAACTATATGTTGGCTAGTAATTGTATCACCTACCTCATTTAAATAGCAGGAAGATTGAAAGTGATCTGTAACGGCGCGCGAACACTCCGCTATTAACATAGAACACCGTAAACATAATTTACGGTGTTCTATGTTAATAGCGGAGTGTGTGAATATCAGATAATACGGCTAAACTTCCCATTACCGTGATTGAGGGATCATGTCTAACATAGTGGGAGGGGAGAGCCATGCTTCGGCACAAATAATAAATATTTCGGACACACAACGCCATCTAGTTTCAAACTTAGCAGAGCTTGTACTATGAAAGCTAGATTGACTGATAGAATACTTCTTTTCTAACATTCTTTCTCATAACATTCTTTTGTACATACATATCATACATAGAAAACTAAGAAAACACCGAAACTCCGCCACAAATATTTGCAGAAAACCGTTATTTAAGGAGCTTTTTCGTTGTTTTTCATCGAGTGAGAGTGGTTACCAGCGCCCATTTTTATTTCTAACGTGTAGAAACCCCATCGGGCCGTCACCCCACCGGGGTTTACGGGTTTACGGGCACGGGAGGACCACGACGGGGCCCATGGATTAAGAGGGCCTCCGTCTTATACTCCATGCGCCCGACTACCTGAGAGACAACCTAGGTGGCCAATGCGCGCCGCCTCTTAAAGTTCGCCCCCCAGGCTGTGACTAGAGTATCACCAGCATAACAGAATACAGAATAAGCTGAGCCCGGGGGGAAAGTGACATCTTAAAGCCCAGTCGTACCCTATGCTCCACAGGAGCGGTCCGCGAACAGACCCCTTCGGAACTCCGCACGTAACGGGTCGTCGACACAAAACACAATTTCGGTCCTCGTACATGACGGTACGCTCCTCTAAATAGTCTGCCACTAGCCACCTCAGGTACTCTGGCACCCCATGGTATTGGAGTGCTTCCCTGATGCAGTTGAATGGCAGACTATTGAATGCGTTGGCGATGTCCAACGACACCGCCAACAGCACGCCACCACGGCTCACCGCCTCTTCGGTCACGGTCCTGAGGCGCAACACAGCGTCGATCGTCGAACGCCCCGTCGTTCGTCGAACGTCCTCGTTTTTCGTCCGAGACCGTTTCTACATTAGACAGACGAAAAACGATGAGACGGTAATTTAGACCCTATGTCCAGCAGTGGACTATTAAAGGCTGATGATGTGATGTGATGTGGTCATTTAGACGGACAAAAAATTACACAATGTACATTTATTACCCACTCATAAAGGAACTATGTAAGAACCAGATTATAAGTATGATTGTGACTGTCTCATATTAACAAAATTGACATCTGTTAAGTACTTGGGTGTAATGTTGAATAGTACACTATCATGGTTTGACCATTTGGAACTTATTACAAATAGACTTAGAAAATTAGTGCGAATTTTTAAAATATTAAAACACGTATCTCAAAATTACTTAGCCTTAGTTCAACCTGTCATTATATACTGTATTCCGATACGGGATGGCGCTGCAAAAACAAGAATTCTTGAATTAGAAAGACCCCAACGATGTCTAAGGTGATGTATTTCTTACCATTTCGATATCCAACTGTACAGCTATACTCTCAGTCCGAACTACTAAGTATTAGAAAATTTTATATTATGAATACTAGTCTCAGAAAGCACAAAATGTTACCCCTTAACCCTAGAAATTGTTAAATTCGTCGAAGTTATACTGTTACTGAAACATATAGATACAAGTCGACCTTTGTCTTAACAAATTATTAAGTATTTACAGCCTCACATTCAGAAATTTTAAAAACACCTGAATTAAATGGCTTACTTAGTCTTTAGACTATACAGAGGTCGAGTCGCGTCTAAAGCGTTTTATTTGACTAGACTAGTATTGTGTTATAGATAATTGATAAGTACTGATAAAAGGTATAATTGAATCGAAATTCCAACCAATGTATGTTCTCTACTCATTTCCATATATTCATTTTCGGCAGTCGTAATTGATAAATTTCATGTTGTCAAATGCAATATTTGTAAGCATATAAGGCTGATTTATTACTTATTGTTGTATCTAGTTAGATTGTTTATTTCTAAACACAACTATGAACACCGTATAAGAAGGTCTCCTGGCACAGGTATTCTTTTACCTAAAAGGAGACTCCATATTTTTTGTAACAATGTACAATGTTTAGGAAATAAATTATTATTATTATTACTTACCTCTATTATGGCTGCTTAAATTAGAAACCACTGATACGCTTTGTTTATACACAGTTCGTAACTTCACTGCTGAAACTTGGAGAAAAAATAAACTAACAACCTTTGCCTATTAACTGAATATTTGCTTTTTTATTTATTAGAAAGACCACAAAGCAGCGAGCACTATCACACTTAGTTGATGGTAGATATGTGTGACAAAGCGTAGTTAGCAAACATTTTTAGAGGGAAATTATCTGACGCATCCTCACGAATCCCCCGCATTTGTATTCAGTTTTGTGTGGCGCAACGCGAGCGATCCATCGTGTTGCGTACCCCTCTACGTGAGGCTGATTACCAGTTTATATTTTAAAAAATGCTTAAGGAATATTAGAAATGAATAAACCTACAAGATATAAAATAACAAAAATTGAAACTTACATCTGTGACGAAAGATTAGAAAATAATAATAATCAAATGAAAGGTAGTTTCGATTTAAATTTGTTGATTTTGTTAGATAACTATAAGTAGATATAAGTAGATATACCCGGCAAAATTCCCAGTCAGTAGTAATTACTTTTGGTTCTTAAGAACTGTTACTAGTAGTCTCTTCAGTCAACGGGATCCTTCGAAGATAGTTGTACTAAAATGCAGGACTGCCCTTTTTCAATAAAACAGTATGTTTGTGTGTCAATATCTATAACAAAATTCCCCAAAATCAAAGAGAAACCTTTAAAAGACCTTTAACTTTTAAACTGTTTTAGAACCCTTTAAAGAAATGGCTAACTGAAAGATGCTTCTAAACTGTTAAAAGAATTTTTAGATTCAGATATTCAATATGTTATTCCTTCTTTTCTTAATCTTTAAATTATTGTATGTCCAAAATGGGCTGATTGATGTTACTAAAAAGTTTTGTACCTACAACAGCTATCTATTCAATCAAAACAAAGATTACTTTAGCAAGAAAAACAAACTCAAAGCGCAGAATGGTTTTAAACCTCATCACAGTAGTAGTTACCGACAAAAATTGTGAACGACACCCGAGTGGTGTGAACCCAGTGCATGGTAAATTTGTTGAACATTCCTTGGACTGTGTTATGTATATCCTGGCTCTTGTATTATGTTTATACTTGCTTAGGTCTTACCTCTTTCGAAGTAATAAGTAATCGATGAACAAAATATCAAACAACAAAGTACAAAAATAACTCTTTTATTATCATAGGAGTTCCGTGCCATAATTTTAGATAAATAAGTTAAATAATAAAATCACAACTTAACGAATACTTAAAATTAACTCTAACAAACAAATTAGAAATTTTGAATTTAATTAATCAACCATCGGGTGTACCCTTTTCGAAACTACATCGAAAGTTGACGTCGTCGTAAGCAATTCACTTATTTCTATGGCAGGTAAAATGGACTCAAAAATTATTTAAAAAAATATTTAAATACCAACGTGGAACACCAAACGAACAAATTAGATTAAAAAATAACTGCACGTACATATAATATACAAAGACAGCAGAAGTTTTACCAGCATGCGTGGCGTAAGAAATGCGAACTTAATTACACTAAAGAAATCTATATACTCATTCAACCCCACATTTCTTACGACACGCTTCGACTCCTCTCAAACAATTTTATAGGCATGCTTGTAAAAAATAATGTACAATTATTAAGTAATGACAAGAATACTATTATTAAGATTGTCCCGGTTTCAAAGCTAACATAAAACTTTTCAGTTCAATTTTTTACACATCAACCCGTTTATATTTACACCGTGTTTCAAGAGAATCGTACAACTAGTAATTGAGCGTGAAAAACGATTCTTCGAAATTATCATCTTTTACCTAAACATACATCACAGATAGAGATATAAAAAAGAACTAATATCTATTCGACGAGTGTGCAGCTATATGTTGTATCGTGTTGTGAGAAGTGGGCTAAAAAAACTAAATTACACCTGACGGTTGCATCAAAACTTAAATTTGTTTTACTGCACATAAAATCAATACGGATTATTATTATATAATGAACAATTGCAAGAAATAAAATCAAGTATACAAGACAAAATTACAAACTAATCGTGCAAGGAAAGATGAGAGAAACAAGAGGACGAAAATGGCTCCGTGTCGCTCGGAGGCTAATAAAGTCCATTCGAAAAACTGGCAAGCACTTACACATTAAATTGATAATCTTATTCATTATAAGTTCTGATAACGTCACTGACATTTGTTTAAAAAATAATTTTTCTATTTGACTAGAGGTTGCTTATTTTAAACCTATTTATAGAATCTACCAGTTTCAGAATCGCTCTAGACAGATCCTCGCAGATTTTGCGCGAGTATACTACCTTCGGACGACTGTATTAATGAAACAAATAAATATATAAATAAAAAACGTTTAAACAAAAAAAAAATACTCGAAAAATTTTAATGGCGAAATGTCTCCTCAAAAGGAAGATTTCATTAGAGCCTCACCGAAATGCATAAGAATCCAACGTGTTGTTTCATTTTTTCTCATCTCCACTAGTTTTGGAATCATTATTCTTGTTGTCTTCAGTTTTGATTTCAGATTTATTTATTTCAGCGTCCTTTTCGTCTTTTTTTATTTTATCTTGACAATCGGCAACATCCTGGGACTTAGTTTTATTTTCCCACTTGTTTTGAAATTCTTCGTTTAACATCTTTTCGAAGTCATTTGAAATTTTATTAACATTTTTTTTCATCGAAGGATCTGGATAGCTCTAGAATTTAATGAATCTATTATTAGATAAACTTTAATTACTTTGTCGTATGTTGTAAGTATTTTACTATGTAGTATTCATTACCTTAAGATAAAGTCGGACATTGTTGAAAATTCGCCTAAAATCTTGAACGACTTGATCATATTCAGTATAAGAAGAATTCTTCAGCTTTGTAGATATATCGTGAAGACACATGGGATATTTTACTACTTCATAAAATCTCGGTGCCTAAAAACAATAACGTTAATTTGACTTTTTTAATTTTGTGTGATGCTTGTCAGTTGGCTGTACGCATGAAAGCACTTACCACTTTTATGTCCATGTCATGTTGAATAAAAGCGGCTTCGTTGATTTGCGAGAGATTAGAAATTATTATCTCAAATTTTTTAACGGTGTTAGCCGGTAAAGGCTTTTTCTTTTTAGGGTGATACCACATACCTGACACCGCCACTTTAGCTTTTCCACCAGACCTTTTTTGATTTTCATCGCGCACGTAATTGCCAGATTGATCGAAATTGGGACAGCGCATGTTCTCTTTTTTTTCCTCATCATTTCTGTTTTCAGGAATTTCTAGAGGTTCATCTGGTTCAAGTGACTTTGTTTCAGAATCAAGTAATTTTACAGTATCTTCAATCAACGCTGTCTGATCTTGGCTTTTACCAATTAAATAGTCATTTTTACCCGTGGATTGTTCATTCCATACACTCGTAAGGTCCTTTGTCATAAAATGATTCGATAGCCCAGTGGCCCAGGCATCGTTTTGATCCATGCAAAGCTTTACTTGCTTTAAATCATCCGGGAATTCATCAGTTATGCTCAAACCTAAAGCATCGTACAATCGTGCCGTGTCTGATTTTGATCCTTCGTGGATAAAATCCATTAGCTTTGGAGCTGATTGCTTAGCAGCTTCCCATGCGCGGTCGGATGTCATAGAACTGAGAAGATCTAAAGATTCCGCCGCCCTGATATCCAAGCAAGGTATACCATGCCTTGGCATTATTTTTTGTTCCTCGCCGAAGATATCCTCAGTGCGTCTAGACATCAAACACGGCCATGATTCAATATTGTATTTAGGTTGCGGTGCCAGTGTCACAGGCGGAAACGCAACTTTCATTTTAAGTGGAATATCGTCTCCTACAGAACTCTCGTAAACAACATCCTGTGAAGTGCTCTGAATAAACGGAGATATAGGATCCGCAGGTTTTATAGGTACTTTGTAGCTTCCAGGCTTCATATAAACTTTGGACATTTCATGAAACTCATCATTTTCAGGATCAATGAATTGTACGGGGCCAGAAATATTATTTGAGATCGTCACAACATTTGATGGGATTTGAATGTTGTGAGTATGATGAGTTATAAAATCGCTAGGTTCTTTTTGGACCATCTGACCCCACGCTGCAAAAAAATCAGCTTCTTCTTTAGTATCGCCACAGCTGTTATTTTTCTGCACATAACATCCTCGTACATCATTACCAGTTGCCATGCTGGGGATTAAAGTCTTCTCCACATGGCTCAAAGGTATCATTTTAGCTTTTAGTTCCATATCTCTTCGTTGCAGTAAATCACAGGGCAAGTTTCCTATCAACGGTTGCCCCGGTGCTTTTCCAAGTTCTGCATCCATTTTATGCTTCAATTGAGTATACAGTTCTCGTTGGTCTGCGTGACACATGCCTTCCAAGGCTCGAAAGTCAGGAATATTAGTAATAGTCCAGGATTGTCGCGGTTTTGCTTCACGAACACTGCACGGGTCACATTTGTATGGCGCTTTTTGGTAGCTGTCCATTTCATTTTGATCGTTCAATGGATAGAAATTGTGGGAGTTTGGCGGAGGAACTACAGGATGTTTTTTGTAGGTGACTCCGGATCGTGCTGGCCATGGGCCTTCGTTAAAGCTTTGAGTAGCCGTTTGAGACTGATTCTGTATCCAAGGAGGTTGAACTGCGTTGAAAGGCTGTGGAGAAGCATTAACAGGTCGTGGAGTGCTAGCGTGCGGCTTCACTGGTTGAAATTTATTTTGATTTTGATTTCGTGACACTGCTGAGTTTGTCGCATAATAATTGTGCGTAAAACTTTTCTGTTCCATAGTAAATCCGTGGTCCAGGCACTTAAACGTTTTATAAATATGTGTCAACATCTCTTTGGTAACAGCCTGCCATTGCACGAAACATTCCCTTATGTTAGGGCTGTAGTATTTATTTTCTATTCTAGAAAACGTGTCATGCTTTTCACTGAGTAATTCTTTAACTCCTTTCCAACCATCTAAAATTCTAACGAAAGAGAAAATAAAATTTTTAATTACCCATGGGATACCCTGAGAATGTAAATTGGCAACAGCGCTATCTGGCTTTTGAACATTGGATCTAGTTTTAGCGCAGATTGAGTGTATATTTTTAAAGCATGGTCTATTGTGGTGAGCAATTGCTATGTTCTCTGCATCAGTGCATGCTTCCACAGCCAATTGAACGATTTGCATTGGTATCTGATCATGTATTATTATCTTATCTAGTACAGATAGTAATACTTCCGATGATACGGAAGGCTTATTTTTGTCTTCTTCCTGATTGGATGATTTCTGATTTTGATTTTGTTTTTGATTATTAGAATCAGATCGTGAATCAGGTATGTTGCAAAGTTCAGACACCATTCTTTCGCCTTCAACAAAAAAATCTAGGCTGGAAGTAGATTCAGAAGTCAAATTTCTGTCCTTTCTCTGACGTTCAGATTCAGTAGTATCCTTGTACCTTTCATGATATCGAGGGTCGGCGCTGTAAGCATTACGTTTATCTTGACTTTTCACTATTTTCTTCTTCGCACCAGTACCGATCGGTTCTTGATTGGAGATGGACCAGGAACTTTGTGATCGCCTGTCTGCATTGACGTTCCGCTCTCCTATCATCCCAGTGCCACTGTAGTTGGGTGAAGATGGATCAAAAACTAGGCCAACAAGAGGTGAATTTGGCGGTGAACTAAAGGTGGGGGCCGATTGATTGGTATATCTGAAAATGATGGCAATACTCAATATTTATTATAAGAGAATGACAAATCTTGAACTAGACTTTAATACCTTGGGTTTTGGTACGACTGGTTTGATGCGGTCGCTTCGTAGATGCCTGTTGCAACACGGCAATACGTTGCCATGTTTTGGTCTGACAAATCTTTGCTGGAGCATCCTTATGAAAATAAAGATATTTTAAAATTAATAGTCCTCAGCCGCGTTTACTGTAGGTGCTACATAATTTTGAAGTTCTGAACATATCGGTTAACTTGTTCTGGTTGTGATTTGTTTGTCCATTTAACTATCTTACTTTGTTAAAAACAAGTAAAATAATTAAATTGCATCAAATTTATTATTCCTTTTCAATAACTTAATGTTCAAAATCATTCATTTAAAGACAAAAATAACTTTTGAAATATACATGGGATTTGTGCAACAAAAAGCTGAATTTTATTTGAGGTTGTAGGTATTTAGTCATATCGCGTGAAGGCGATACAAATTTGTACCATGAGAACCAATTCCACCAATAAATTCCGTTATATAAAACTTCAAGATGAAAATAGGACAAAGAAGCTTACCATAGTTTTTTTGCTGCATCATGGCATACTGATGCTGGGTCTGGTAGCCATCAGCCTGGTGCGATATGCCCCGCTCTCGCACTCCTTCAGGACCTCCATCGCGATACTCCCCCGACTTGCTCGAGACTCCACCATACTCTTGCATTGGGCTTGTAAATGTCTACAATCATGTTAAAAAAAAAGTGATAGTAATGTAGATTTTTGAGACAATTGATTTAGAGACAATTTTTTTTGAGATTAAACATCTATGGGACTATTTAAAGTATGATCAAACGCAACATTAACGAAATTATATTGTATAAACTTTTTTAAACGAATAATAATAGATTCAGGCAAGTTATTGAAATCCGAGATTTTGTCTTTTTTATTTTACCTTTACTTCACAATCGTCGATAAGAATAGCTAACCCAATACCTAAAACTTGATGGCAGTTTCTCAGATTTCTGAATTTTTCATACTTTTCTTAAATTAATGGACGCTAGACGGGTAATCTCTTTTAAATATGACATATTGATCATAACTTCGGCTGGATCTAGTTGGTATCCGATGTCAGGCTCTTTGAATTATAAACTCTCTAAGGTAGTTTTTTTTTCTTTTGTCCAGATATTCTTGAGAATACTACTTTGCGCTTAATATTGCATTGTTTAAGTTGTACCTCTATATATATGAATAGAATTTAACTTCTAGAAATCAATACTACTAAACATTTTCATTTTACTGTATAATTATCTACTCACCGATTTAATGGCACCACAGTCCTTCTTCAGAAATGTATTAATACTCTCAATACATATTATAATAAATATTACCTATATAATGATTGTCAAAGCATCCGTGTCTAAGTTTTAAAACAATTTTTTTTTATTCTTACGCATTAACCAATATGATTTAACACGATTTGGATGATTCCAGGTTTCACAACTGTTGCTTATTGTCTAGATTTCATAAAGAACGTTTATAATCATGATATTTTATGCACTACCTTCAATGTAAGTTGGATAATGTATGACTTGCCAAATATTTGAAATGAAACCAACCATATGATTTGGTTCATTTGTTTCATGACGTTTTCTATATTTGCTTTTCAGAATTATGGCCACAGCCGTGGCGTGTAAACTCTGTGCAGTTTCGATTACTCAACGACCTACCGTAACGGGTTAGTTTATCTGATGTTTTAGTTGTTTCGTAATTATAATTATATTATTATTGTATAATACTTGCATTGTTGTACTGTCAACATGTTAAAACATTAAACAATTGTCTAGCACTGTATTTATTCGGTACAAATTTCGTAGATTTTTCATTCATTTGCTGCAAATCAAGATTAATTTATTAGTGTTACTAAGAAACCTTACGACAGGGTACCACTGGCATTGTACAAAATGCTCTAGATGTCTTTACATTAACGGCAGGTGCCTCATTGACAACGGACCCGTGTTCAAAATATTAACAGATAGTATGAAACTGAACATTAGTAACAAACACTTGGATTGCCTAAAAGTTGAGATTACATACATTCACAAAAGCTCTTTGTTGTTACCCTTGTTGTCTTTGTTGTTGTGGTGATGGAGTTTTGTGAGAATTATAATAAGTTGTATATAATAATAATTACCTCAGACATTTATTTATATAACTTAATGCATAAGTTGTACACACGCGGTTTAATGCCCAGGGTATTCTCTGGAACTGGGCTGAAAGATTCGGCCTAGTTCTCCTAAACCGGGGGGCCGTGGCCACGTTCGTGACGGCGAGGGGTAGTTCGATCGTTGACATCTCGTTGTCGGGGAGGCTCGTCATCGGCGTCGTCCAGAGCTGGCGCGTCGTTGTCGGGGAGGAGACAGGTTCGGATCACCGATATATTCGGTTTGACGTCTCCGCCCCTACAGATGGCGCGCTGGTCAGACCGGCACCACCTGAACCACGTTGGGCGCTCAAGCGCTTAGATCGCGACCTCCTCCTGGAAGCCGCCATCGTACAGGCCTGGGCTCCTGCGCCGGACAGGTCTGTCGACGTCGATGCCGAGGCACAGTGGTTCCGGGAGGCCATGACCCGCGTCTGCGATGCGGCGATGCCTAGGGCTCAGCCCAATACTGCGAGGCGCCAGGTCTACTGGTGGTCGCCGGAGATCGCACGGCTGCGTCAAGCCTGCGTGACCGCGCGCCGCCAGTGGTCCAGGTTCCGCAGGAGGCGTCGCCGCCCCGAAGATGCGGCAGCGAGAGAGGCGGAGCTGTTAGCGGGTTAAAGGGTTGCCAAGAGGACCCTTCAGTCGAGCTTCGGGTGATGTAGAAAAATGATGTGGTAGGTGCAAGAGAAAACAGAGAATTAGACTTTATTTATATTAAAGTTATTCATTTAAGAAAAATCTAACTTACATATATACACTGTATACTATAAATAAAATACTATATTCATTACTACATATATACATAGAGGTCCCAAGTATACCCATACAATACATAAACATACACATATATAAATACATAAATATCAAAACACACGGTATGTAGACTGCTGGTAATCACACTTATATATTTCTAAATACATATATATTACACTTAGCCACAAAACAAAATGGTCGTGCTCATCACACAATTAAAAATTAATTGTTTTTAAAGAAAATAAATAAATAAAATAAATAAATAAATAAATAAATAAATAAAATTATTTGTCCTGGGTGGGTTTTTTTTTAAGACAACTCCCGCATTAGTAATATGTATATCCTGTATCGGGGGGACTTAACAAACATACATGAAACGGACACAAAGGACACCCAGACTCAGAATGTCAATTTATGGATCACAAAAAGTGTCGTCCCATGTGGGGATCGAACCCACAACACTCAACGTAATAGAAAGCGGCGTGGAGACCGCTTAAACCACTACGTCATCCGTGCAGTAGAATTAAACCCACGACCTCTGCTTTGGCAGTCAAGATCACTAAGCCGCTATAACTAGACCAATCATTTTTTTGTTAATATTCGGGAGAAACAAAACAATGCTGGCAAAGCTATCTGAGGTTTTCTTTAAATTGGAATATGTTTTTAATGGGCTCCAATTTCAGAAGAAGTCTGTTATGTCCTACCTTCAGGATACGGGCGATGGGCCTGTTGATCTGGTGGTTAGTGACCCTGACTGCTAAGCCGGAGGTCGTGGATTCGATTACCACCCAGGACAAATAATTGTGTGATGAGCACGATCATTTCGTCATAGTCGTAGAATAGTGTCGGATCTGACATTTATTGAACTTTACAGGGCAGTCATTTCAAATAATTATGTTAGTTTTCTTGACATAACTTTTTAAATTCTAAATCTGTAATTATGATACAAGTGAAAAATAGGGTTTATTTTAAAATGCAATAAAAATAACAATTAATAATTACACAATTTTCTTGAAAAATCACATGCTTCATTTTACTTCAAATCCGTCAGTTTACCGACTGAATAATCTAAAATACATATATTGTTTTCTTGAATGTGGTAATAATATTTAGACTGTAGTATCCAAATATGGTAAAAACTGAATTCCGTATTTTATTTCAAAACCGACTATTCTCTCTATTCTACGATCATGACGATTTTTCTTTGTCTGGGTGTAATTTATATAATATGTTTGTATGTATCCGTGTGGTGACGGATTAAGAATACGGAATATCACCACTCATATTCATCCCGTGGGGGTCGTAAGAGCCGACTAACGGAGCAAACTACGCAGGACAACAGCACTGCAAAGAGAAGGAAAACTTGACACAAATCCTATACCAACCCGTCTGGCCAGCGCGGTATAGTAGGCCAAAACCTCCTTTATAAGGAGAGGCCTATATCCAGCAGTGGACTATTATAGGCTGTTGATGATGATGATGTATGTATTTAAAAATATATAAGTATGTTTATCAGCAGTCTGGTTACCATAGTACAGGCTCTGCCTATTTTGTGATCAGACAGCCGTGTGTGTGATGTGTGAAGTTATTATTATACTATTTTCTTGTTTTGCAGACCGTTCTTTTATAGAAACTTTAATGTTTAGACACTATCAGCGAGCTATTTAAGTAATTCTTTTCTGTTCATACTGTCTTGACTTCAAATGTTAATTGTTCTGTTGCATCGTAGGTATAAAACATGCAATAATTAGTTTTTTTAAACTGCTTTAATTTCTTACTCGTAACTTATATTCATAGATAAGGCATGTTATTATCTGTGGCAACATTTGAGATTTTCGGAGCAGTATCCGGAAATATCCGGATAAAATAGATATTTTATATTTCATTTTTGTTTTTCAATTAAATAAAAAGTTCGTATCATATTATGTACCCAACTTTAAAAATGTTTTTTTAGACTAAATAAGCACCCAAATAGCTGTAGTCGATTACACTAAACCAACGAATATTAAGATTAAAAATAACAAGGATAATCTAGTAATCCTTGGTTTAAAGCTGATTGTCTTTGCATTTGAATAGCGTCTTATTTGGTCTTATATATTTATTTACTTTCTCCTGTAAACGTAAGTTTAAGGTCGTATGTTATTATCTTCAATTGAATACGCCATAGTTACATGTTCCCTAACATGAAGCGCGTCAAAGAGTCATAAGGCAGACCAGAAGGCCAATTCTCGTAATAAAAGTTCGGTCACAATTCAGTTCCGATCAACTTTCGATCTCACAACTGCCATAAAAGGTATTTTCGTAGTAAATTATTAAACGTCCATCGTTGACAGTGATTTGATTATATCGTATTGTCACCGTAAGCTATAAGTCTTAGTAATACTTTACTATTTTATAACGAAAATACCTTGAATGACAGTTGTGTGTTCGAAAGTTAATCGTAACTGAATTGTGACCGAACTTTTATTACGAGAATTGGCCTTCAGATACTTCGGGTAGATAGTTGTGGACTGAGAAATAAAATTCCTCCTAAATAACCGTCTGTGTGGTGATTCAGCAGACGGGGTGTATCAAACACTAATACAGCATTTGAACTTAAATATGAAATAAATATAAAACCTTATTTATACTGTAATTTATGCAATTAAATTTAGAATTGTATGATAATTAATTTAAAGTTAATGATGTCTAAGGAGAAGCCTATTTAGGAAATTTATACTTTGTTTGTTCTTTTAATATTTTGATTGTGCGGCGCGGCGGTACAGTAGTCTACCGCATTGTCAGAGGCCGCTGGTCCGATATATAATATATCATTTTCTGTCCGTGTGGTGACGGATTAAGAATACGGAGTGTATTCATTCCGTGGGTGTCGTCAGAGCCGACTAAGGGAGCAAACTACGCAAAACGACAGCACTGCAAAGAGAAGGAAAACTTAAATCAGACCCTATACTGTAGTCATTGGCAACTGAAGTTCGCAAACAGTTGCCGAAGACTACAGATTTTGAGAGGCTGCACACATGCCTCTCCTTAGAAAGGAGGCTTCAGCCTACTATACCTCGCTGTTCAAAACGGGTTGGTATATACTTACCCCTGGCCGGAGGCCTACTAAATACTTTATATATTTAACATAGTAGACATTTAATAAGCCATCTAAATCAGATCATACAGTTTACTGTATAGTTATAGAGTTAGTTACTGTATAGTTATATAGTTATAGAGATATTTATATCTCTATAACTTGTAATACTTTAATGCTAAATGTTTCATATGTATAAAACATTTTTCATAACTATAGTCTATTTTGATGGACTATAGCTATATAAAATGTTTACAAAATGGTACCTGTTAGATCTGTCTAAGAGGTACCGAAGATGCAAGACCAAAACAATCTTATTTTCTCTCTACCAACCGTATGCGCTAGCGCCTTGTTTGCTACCTCTATATTTATAAGCTTTTTGCTTAGATTACGCAAGCTTAAGAATTTTTGAATTTTAGATTTTTTACTTGTAAATTAGCTGTTTAGTTATAGTCAGATTTGATCCATTATACATCGTGTTTTTAGACGTCTTTGATGATAATTTATTCTATCACGAACCAGAATGTATAGAAATCAGGTGGTCTCGAAACTTGTGTGACTGAATGTTTTCTAACTAGCAATACGTGTATACAATACATGTCTGATATTTCAGGTAAATACGGTTTTTTACATTGGACACAACAGGTTTAATTTATATATCATACACTAAGAGACTCTTCAGTCATGGAAAGGGATTGCGGATGAAAATTTTTACTTATGTTTTTCTCAAATTTTTATAATTGCTAACTTTTGCCCGCAGCTCCCGTGTGTATTTTCACTTCTGGACATAGGTCCCTCCTTACAAACCGTGTGGTGACGGATTAAGTATACAGAGTGTCACTACCCCTATTCATACCGTGGGTGTCGTAAGAGCCGACTAAATGAGAAAACTACGCAGGACAACAGCACTGCAAAGAGAAGGAAAACTTAAAACAAACCCTTTTTTTTTTTTTTAACGTGTGGTAATCCCCTCGGACCGTCACCCCACCCCTCTCAGTCTTTAATGTATGTTTAAAATGTCCTTAGGTATTTTAACAGAATTCTCTCGAATGTCTTAAAAAACCAAATCATCTAGAACTATATTGTGTTAATAGTTCTAGTAACAATTCGTCACATAATCATTAAACAATATATTTTTTAATTTTATATTTGTTTTATTACTTCAATGGTGATTTCATTTCTTTCTATAAATCATGCGCAAACAATAGTTTTAATAGCGTAGATCACAGCGGTGACAGCGAGAAGATTGGAACCAATTGTAGTTGTCTTTGCCCCGTTGCACAGGTCTTTGGTACAAGAGCAAACTTCCTGTCTACCTCCGAAACCAGCACGATGGTAGCACTCGCCCTGAAAATTATAATAACTTTATCCATAATATGTATATATTTAGAAATATATAAATATGTTTATCAGCAGTCTGGTTACCCTTTTTTTTTGGTTTTATGTGTGGAAACTCCCTCGGGCCGTCACCCCCCTGGGGTTTGCGGCGGGGTGGTGTGTCGGAATCGGACCGACTAAAACCACACGGTGTGCCACTCTGCACTTGTAATGGGAGGGATGGATCCGGGAACTGCTGTTATTAAGACATCCGGACCCCTCCTAGCGCCTGCCCGCACCACCACCTTAGCAGTCTGGTTACCATAGCACAGGCTCTACCTAGTTTGGGATCAGACGACCGTGTATGAAATGTGTGAAAATATTGTATTATATTGTACAGACATGATGGACATCTACGAGTACATGTGGTATTACAATAGGCGGTCTTATCGCTCACGGCGATCTCTTACAGACAACCTTTACACGGACATTGTCAAATCTGATTTAGGGTAGTCTGTGGTGTACTTTATAATACTCTAGATAAATAATATATAGAGAAATAGACATACTAAATACGTTTACAATATACATACTACTAACACATTATTATGTTCTCGTATACATTTTAGTAAATATTCTGTCATAATTAAATTATTTACCTTATATTTGCTCTCATCCCAGCCGCAGCCTCTGATAACCCTACTCTCGGGCAATCTTCCGTTGACGCCGTAGTCTACATGCTGAATTATTTTCCTGCAGAGAGTATGCGTCACTCCTCGGTCATGCTCAGAGCAGTTCCTCTTCAGGCTGTCAGGTATGTGACTTTCAAGGCAGAAGGTATTGGTAGCGCTGTTGCATTCGTAGCATATAATTGTTGACCCTGGAACCGTTTCATATTGAATCTAATATTAAATAGTAGATACTAGTTCGATCAATCGATAAATTATTAATCTATGTCAATTTATATTATAGTAAACAAGATTTCTTTGTCCTAGAATTGACGAGATATTAGTCCTTTATAGTCAAGGTTTGATCAATAGAAACATTTTTATCAATACTTTTCTAAGCTGTTATGATATTGCTGAGTTTGACTCGTTAAAAAAAACAGTACATGTTTTTAATATCTTCTGTGTTGTTCTTCACTTTAACCATTTCTTTGCTGATTGCTATTGAGTCTGGAGAACTTGGAATCATTATTGACTGGTGATATTCGGTTATGGAATCGACATACTTTGACCCGGAGACAGTATATTTTAATAAGGTTTGTAAGTTATTCTAATCTATAGTCAAAATACCCTTTTGCTCCGACAGGAGCCGTAATATAAACTATGAGAATAACAATCTAGCCTTGCTGACGAACTGTTTTTGAGGAGGTTTCGTAACGGAATATTACCAGGACGCCTCTAAACAGATTTAGACGATCTAACAACTTGTCAGGTATGCAGACTTTTTGTTCAAAGCGATCTATTTGCTTTACAACTTCTTCTTCTTCCAACTTTATTGCAATTTATTGAGGTTTAAAAATAGTTATTTTATGTTGTCAACAACAACATCAACGGAGGATCGAATGGGGGTTTCCATTACTGTTTTAAATCTAGTTACCGCCAATTTTTAATTTTTATGAGCCGGATCTTTGAACAAAAGCACTACAGTATTACGAAACAAGTGTGCGTAATATTTATTTGTGATTCATTCTTATTTAAATACACTACCATTGTGCAGTTACTTATCCATAGGCAGAATTTATTCAAATCCGAAAGACACATGGCATACTAATGCAGTCGTGTATTTTTTCTTTGTCATATTGGACTTACGTGAGTGTAAGTCGTGACTAAACGCATTTCTTAGCAAAACGTTAGCTTCTATTTATTAGACCTACTTGGTAGTCAGCCAGAGATAAAAATTCGATGGTCATTCCTTAAATAATTGACAAGAATAAACCTCCTTTGAAGTTACTTTACAGAAACCTTTAAAATTGCGTGACAATCAGAGGAATAAAGGGTCGTGAACTTTTTGTCTTTGGCCTATTCATATAATTGATTGTGATTAGTTCTTCCCTATGAGAGACATTCAGAGGGGATCAGATCTGATGACCAAAGAGGTAAGACATATCAAGACATAGAGAGTATAAACTTGATATAATAATATTAAATATATATAAATATAAATCAAACTCAAGGGCCTTGTCTACAAGAACATTAATTGACCAGTCCTTATGTACGGCAGCGAAACCTGGCCTATAACATGAAAAACCATACGCACGATCCAAGTTCACATCATCACATCAACAGCCTTTAATAGTTCACTGCTGAACATAAGCCTCTCCTTGGAAAGGAGGTTTTGGCCTACTATACCACGCTGGCCAGACGGGTTGGTTTGTTACAAGTTTTCCTTCTCTCGATCCAAGTTGTCGAGATCAAAATGCTGAGGTGTAAAGAGGAGGCTGCCTGACTACGTTGGCCTTACACATCACACACACGGCCGTCAGTGCTACCGAAATGCTGATAAACATACTTTACATATTTCTAAATACACACATATTAAAGAAAATTACACCCAGACAGAACAAATGCTTTTCACACAATATTTGTCCTGGGTGGGAATCGAACCTGGATCCCAGGGTAATTAACCACAAGACCAACAAGCCCGTCTTACTCTTTGGAATGTATCTTAATATCTAGTATGACTGGCCTGGACTAATGGTTAGAGATACTGACTGCTAACCAGAGGTCGTGGTGTCGATTCCCACAAAAATAAATGTGTAATGTATGATAGGCATGATATTTGTACTATTTCTGGATATAATTTATCTAAGATATGTATTAATTAAAGACGGAAAACTTGACACAAACCCTATACCAACCCGCCTGGCCAGCGTGGTATAGTAGGCCAAAACCTTATTTCTAAGGAGAGGCCTATGTCCAGCAGTGGACTATTAAAGGCTATTGATTTGATGTATTAATTTAATACGTACAAGGATGTTTATCAGAAGTATATTTACTATATGTATAGGTCCTGCCTTATTTGGAAAAAGAATCAAATGGCCGTGTGTAAGATATGTCAAAGTATTACTATTATCAAAACAAATAGCTTTTGCAAATGTTGAGTTTGTTAAACATGGACAAAATTAGTAACGCCATCTATATCAATATATTAAAAGTATTCAACATTTTTACACATATTTTTTTACATGCGTATACGTAAGAAAATATTTTCAGTGTTTGCATATACAGGGCGCTACTCACGGGAATAAGTTTTTTGACATTCATTAGCCATTATCTGTAATGGTGGTTTTCTCTGATTCAGAATATATACAAATCTCGCTTCCATATATCCTTTCCAAAAGCTTAGCCGATTAGTTGACAATTACGTTTCGCTTCTAAGATTCCAATTCCAACATTCTAAAACCTTTCTTTCTTGTGGGTGGGAATTAAAAAAAAGTTTTAACAAATGTTTCCAAAAAAATCTATCATCTATCAAATTCGTATCAATTTATAATTTAAAAAAAAGTATAAATGGGTGCGTACGAAATCTAAACAGATTGATCCCACGGCAAATTTAACTTTATTTATTCCCATCAAAGCAGGATGTAATTTTATATTGAACTAGGTGCCCTAGTTGTTACTTGGAGATTGTGTAATGTACAGGCAATTTAAAAATAAAATACCAACGATCGAATCTAATGCTGGCACGTAATAAAATTATTGCTTCAACGATAATGTACCAGATAAAAAGTAATTTGCGGTTTTCAACAAGTCTGTTTCAAAGAAAATATTTCTAGTTGATAAATTTCGTAAACCAGTTCACGATAAGGAAACAACATAAAAAATATAAGATTGTGGGTAACTGTGAAGTCAAGGAGAAAATGTGCAAGTTTTAGTTCTTCTTGTAATAACATATCGATGGGAAAAAGCAGAAATATTGTGTGTAAGAAATTGGCCTAAATGTAAAACTTACTAGTATGTAATTATCACAAAAAAGGTTCAATCGAACTGTCTGTCTTGTCTTCCTGTGACGTGAAAGTTAATGATACACTATTGACATTTTTTTAGTTTTTTGTATGGTCTCAGATGGAAATATTTTGATATTTCAAGATACGACAAATACCGCTTTTTGTCGTCGATATGTAGTAATTAATGGCCGTAAGCTATCTGAAATGGCCTGCAATGATATCGGTATACATTCAGTGGTGTGGGTACACATGGCGATTCTCTTGCATGCTTTTGTAAGCTTCGGTACCCGGCAAGGAATGTTTCAAAATTGTATTCGTATGTTTACAAAATTGAATAACAAAAAACAGTCTAGAAGTTATCGAGTGACAGAAAACCAAAAAAATAGACAGAAAATATTTGGGGATAAAACTAAACATTTGGTAGAATAAAAAGGTGGAGTAAAAAGCTTGAAATTTTAATTTCATTATTATATAAAGTTCAAAGTCGTTTCAGCCCGTTAATAAATTAAAGAGATTGTCAGTAACATTGTCACCGACTTTCGAAAATCCATTAGTACATAACATATTATTGGCAGCCTCATGACATTGGCATTAAATATTAAAAGTGTCATCTTAAATTATTCATCAAACATAACATAATATACTTTATCAATTTATGCAGGAAATTTTAATATAAACTAACCGCAGGATGTAATAAATGAGGAAAACTAACCGTATTTGAATAGTCCACAGAGTATAAAAAAAGTGTAATAAAAACGCGCCATGACACTTCTTGGATGACAACCACAGCTTTCTACAGTGTAGCCACTACATCTGAGTATGAGAATCAGTAGCCACATCACAAGGTTGAACCAGAACAACCCGGCTTCGGATCTGAATCAGGATGTGCTTCATTGAACTCGATAGCGGAATACAACAATTGAAATAGTTAGGTGATTTTATTAGGTCATACTAGATAATGACAACAGATTCATGATTTCAATACTGATTGTGAGTGTTTGCTCAAGCATTCTGGGGCAACATATACAGGAACAAATAAAAGGCAAGATCATGAAAAACTTTTATTTATACATTCGCAAATAACAAACATAACAACGAAGCGTCCGCTAAACAAAATGTACAGTCATTGTGGCTATGGTAACCTCGTCATATCTACATTTGCACCTATTACAAACCATATGTCATTACAAAATAAGTTTCAAAGTTGTATACGTTAGCTTGTAAGTGCGAATAGTTCGATTATCACCTATTTACATGGCTTTACTAACTCGTTAACACGTGTTAACACGCATTCATCTATAGCTACAGGTTTTCATACAAATAAATTAAAAACATCTATACATATTCCTCCTACATCTATTTTAACATCTAATTCTTTCAGCTCTTTGCTTTTGCTAACTGCATTAACATTTTCAAAGTACAAGTTATTATTAGTAACAATATCTTTGGTACATTTGCATCTATTTGACTATCTGCCAGTATTATTTCTCAAAGTCTTTACATTGTTAAAAAACTAATTCCTAATATGGCAGTGGATTCAAGCTTTACTGCATATGTTAACGGTGCTTGTTTTGCATTTTATTCACTATTTATTTCTGCTCTCTTGAACGTTCCTGCTACTGTAATGTTTGTGGAAGTTATAACACTTAAAATCTCAGCAATGCGAATGTCAGGAGCATTATTACGGTGGCTCCGACTGGTATCGCTGCAGAGTTGCAGCCGTCTTCAAGACACGAACATACTTCTTGTCTACCTCCGAATCCAGAGCGCTGATAGCAGCGATTCTGAAGACAAAAATTTATGTTTCAAGTATGAGATGTTACAAATTATTTTGGAGTATTTGCCTTTTATAGGTAGCCACCCTCTCTACAAGTAAAAATTAACTTTTGAAGTAAGTATCATCTTCGTATCGACTTGTAAAGCCATATTCTTCAAATTTTAATTTTCCACCTTTTTGATGTAATCTGTTAGTATGCTGTCTGCTTCTATTTGGGTTTTGGAGGTCTGATGGCAGTTTCGTAGTAGGCTTAAAAGCAGATCCCAACTTAATTTGGGGAAAAAGCTCTCAGGATCAAGACACAGTATTGAAAAAATTAAAATTGTCAGCCTATCCTTACCCTAAATGTTTTGAGATGGCCTTTTTTATTTTGTACCTACTATCGAAAAGGGGGCGGGGTGAGGTTGGCTTTTGCATCTAATATTGCTAGACACCAAAAACAAAATTAGGTACATTTTATAATTCACCAGGGACTTCCTTTCTAGGGTATACCTGCTTCCCCGGCTATTAGTACCCGGCGAAGGCGTGCGGTTTTAGTCGGTTCGAGTCCGACATGCCACCGACAGGTGGTATCCGAGGGGATTTCCGCACGGAAAAAAAGAAAAAAAAAGGTACATTTTATAATATGGCACCTGTATTTCATTTTTTCTTCACACATTCTGCCTCTTGTCGGTTGATAAGACTGCTTGTAATATTTATCTATAAATACGGGTGCTTAAAAATGCTTATAATATGACGGGTCATCTATTTGTTAGAAGTAGAATGAAAATGTATCCTAACCTTGTAACTGCTCTCATCCCACCCACATCCTCTGATAACCCGGCTGTCTGGAGGCATGCCGTTCATCGCGAACTCCACCACCTGCGAGATCTTCCTGCACATGGTGTCTTTGGGTCCACAGGGCGCACGCAGCGTGTCGGGGAGCTTATCCAACAGACAACGGGAGTCATTGTGACTGTTGCACTGATAGCATGTGATTGCTAGACCTGTAAATATTTTAAAAATTTAAAATTTAAAAATTAAGAATATGGAATATCACCACCATTGGGTAAGTAAGAGCCGACTAAGGAAGCAAACAATGCAGAATAACAGCACAGCGAAGAGAAGGAAAACTTGAAACCAACCCTGTACCAACCCGACTGGCCACCGTATTACAGTAGGCCAAAACCTCCTTTCTAAGGACAGGCCTATTTCAGCAGTGGACTAGTAAAGGCTGCTTACATAATGTATAGCACTGGGAAAGGATTAAAAGAACAGGTTGCCTACTCAATACAAGTATTCTAAAACCACTATAAAATCAATTTCGACTAATTCCACTTTATATTACAGACTTTTAGCCGATAAAGCTTCATGAACATGTCTCATCTACTAATTGTCCGTTTGTAATTTACTTTTCTGTCTGTTCAATTTTGTTTTAGACATATTTACGGCTGTATAGCGTCTGTTACCTACAGTCATTCAAACTGAGGACAATGTCATGGTTTAAAATTAGACAAGTTGCAGACTTGTCTAATTTTGTAATTGGTGTACATGTTAACATGTATACCAATTACAAACTTTGAAAAGACTTTGATTGAAATGATAGGAAAAATTTATGCGACTATACTGGCGTATGTCATCTAGGCGTATGAATCTTTAAGAAAAAGTTAGCAAGAGCTCTCTCTTTATTTAAGCTGAAAAGAGTACAATAACAAAGAAAGATAAACTTACATAAATATTTATTTTCATTAGGCAGGCAGCGACTAAAGTTTTTAACAAAATTGTAATATCTTTATGTGTAGAAAATCATACAATACAAATCACACAATCAAAAGAATAAAATAGCACTACTATAGATTTACGCTAGTGTAACTTAGTCTAATTATTGTCTAAGATCTATGTTAAACTGAAATGTCCTACACTGTAATATTTATATTGGCCAAATAAATTATTATATTATTATTATTATCATTATCATTACATCAACAGCCTTTAACAGTTCACTGCTGGACATAGGCCTCTTCTTAGAAAAGGAATTTTTAGCCTACTATACCACGCTACTCAGGTGTGTTTGGTGTCGGGTTTGTGTCAAGATTTAGTTCTCTTTGCAGTGCTGTTGTCCTGCGTAGATTGCTTCCTTAGTTGGCTCTTACGACACCGACGGGATGAATATTGGTGGTGACACTCCGTATTAAAACCCTAAACCCTTGATTCTGAATGTTATAATTTCTAATTAGTTTTGAGTAATAATAATTACATTATATGCCAGTTACATTATGTAATATTTAATTTTAAAGGTTTTTCATATTAAACCACCACTTCAAAAAAGTGTCTAGTTCAAAACCTTTTCTCCTCTATCTATCAACTGATTTAAATAAGCCATTGACCAGCTTTACTGTTATCAATCATTTCATTAATTACTGTCCATTTTCGACCACGGAGCGACCACAAAGTACTAAATTCAGTTAAATACATTTTTGCTTGGTACACACCGCAAATCAAAAACCTGGTCTGTGATTTTCATTTTCATTTTTTTTTTAACCTGTTAATTTGCAAATGTCTTAATAAAGAAACAAGTTATTTACAATTCATACAGATGTTAACGTAAAATAATATACTCACCGGAATGACACAATGTAAACCTGAACCTTTTTGGTTTGTTGTGTGTACCTAAATCATATTTTGAAAGTCGATTGCTATAATCAATCAATAATGAGTTATGGAGGGTTAGCTATCACTCCGACTCAGTAGCCACTAGTGCAAGACTTCACGCAAAGAATTAATGTTGAATGTTTAATACTTTACTTTTACTTTACCTTTTATGATATTTGTGAGATCGAGAGAAGTTCGGAATTGAATTTGGAACAAATTTGTATTACAAGAATTAACCTTCTGGGATGCAAAAAAGTTTTGTCTAGAAATCGATGCTAGAACTAGGAGGAATATGCGATCAAACAAACTATATTTGATCGAAGGGAATAGCAATTTATGTATAAACATGGGTGGACTGACTCTGCAGGCGGCAAATTGGTTAATTGGGGAGAGTTACAATATTTATTAAGCATGAGTATGCCTCGATGCATTGGTCTGTGTGTTAATATCTATTAGAGATGGCCGGTTCAGTCGTGTAGAAGGTCTTGTTTTATTTCATTGAACAGTATGACCTAAACTATTATCGAATAGATTTTATGCGATAACAGGTCAAAATATTTACTTGACCCTTAGGGCCAGCGCAGATGGAGAGGAACGCAGCAGAGAGGACTTTTTTAGACACTCGAAATAAATTTTAAAACAATATTAATAAAGTGCATACCTGTTTGAATATGACAAAAATGCTCGCGAAGCCTCGGGCCGTGTGTATGCACTTTATTGAAATGGTTTTAAAGTTTATTTCAGAGTGTCTTGAAAAAATCCTCTCCGATGCGCTACTCTTGGTCTGCGCTGGCCCTTTTCAGTTTTATATGGCCGTTATTAAATTAAAAAAAAATGCTTTCTTTTTCCTTTTTAATATACTCCTAAGATTCCTAGCTATTATTTATTTCCCAAAGGTTGTCGTTGACGGCCATATTCTTGCTCTTATTACGCGCAGGGATCAAGTTGTAGTTGACCAAATGTGGGTGTTAAATATCCCTGTGCCTACTTATACGGGTATAGGGGGACAAACGAGCAAACGTGTCACCAAAGGATCTAGTGCGAGTTTGTTTCACTTCTACTCGATCGTTACGGTGACCGCGTTTGGCGCTGTGATTGGCTCGCACTGAAATATCCACCAATCGCAACACCGAACGCGCTCGCTGAAATAAACTTACACTAAGCTCTCTGATGGCTCTCCATTGATACCTACATCTCAACATTTAAAGTGCGTTCTCGCTCTTTGAGTGCTTCCAACGTTTGGGTTAGAAGTAACAAAAAACTATTAACACCGGTTTTCTGTGAGGGCTTGGTGTCACTCCAGTCGAGCCAACCCGTTCGTGCGGAAGCATGACTCTCTCACGGTAGACGCTATGCCTCACAAATCACGTGACAGAAATGTATTAAGATTAAATTTAATATGAGTATAGATTTTGGGTGACCGTTTTATATGGGGTTCAAACCGAAATGGTGTTTAGTAAAGCAATAATAGTTCAAGAAACGACCACAATGTTTTAAGCATGGTACATGAAAACGACGGGATTAGGTGCACTTATAAATTATTTAGGCACTTGTTGTGGTTTTAATGTCGTATTAAATAGTGTAAGGGACTTCGTAACGACTAAAATTATGTATTCAGAACATCATTCCGAGTCGAAAATCATTGGAATTATCTACCGCAAAATTCATCAATTTCTTTTTATAATTTTCATTTCTTTTTGGTTAAAAACGATACGATTAAGTAAACATAACATTTTACTAAATCCAATTTAACTGTGCTGAATAAAAATATTTTAGTATTCGTTACGACGTCCCTTACACCCGGTAAATTTCCCACTTTGCTGAGAAAGGAAGAAGATATATAGTAGGGAGGGAGAGAGGATGTGTGTGTGAGTAAAAGGGTCACAGCAGTAGGAAAATTTTTGACCTTGAGAAGTTAAAATGGCCGCTGTTACCCGATCAGCTGATTGTTACAACCGCGCGAGGCATCAAGAAAAGGAAATTGTCTATTATCCCACTCATTCATATTACGACACAAGTCTGTGTAGGATGAGATATAATCTTTCTTTATTATTTTATTGTCTGTACAGCTAAACTGGCAAATAAGTTCACAGCTAGCTTGAGGTTCAACAGTATTTTGTTCTTTGCTTGACAGTGCAAGATGTTTGCAATTTATTCAATATTACCGAAAACCTCGGACCAAGGGGGGACGGTTAAACAATTTTTGCTCAGTCCACAGTGGTGAGAGAGCGCTCTAGGTACTTCCATACCCGCCAACCCTTTGTGCATTAGCATTGAACTCTTGTGATTGAAGGTTGAGAAAATATAAATAAATTTTGATTAATAAAAAAATCGCCGCCTTACATACATAAAAAGCTTTGGCCGATGTTTGATTTATCAGAATTAGTTATAGAAATTAAAAGTACAATTTTCTTGATGACTGAGAAAGAGTTAATTGAGAGTAATATCTACTAGACAAGTAACTAAGTAACATTAAGAAACAACGAAAACGAGTTAAAACTTAGAAATAAAAGTTCACTTTACTACATGTCATCCATGTTAAAATTAAGGGTTTTTGCAATCGTTTTCTAGATATATTTGAGTTAATACTATTTTAAATTGATTAAAATAATATGTCCCATAGACAACTTTTTTTTGAAGTGAAAAAGATAAATAAAGGAACATTGGGTTCAAACATAACTTACTAAAAGAAAAATTAATCGTAAAACATCCACATCTACAACCAAACTAGCATACTCCACTTAACTTAATATAACACAAACCTTGTTGAAGCAAACTGCATATTACCGCCAAAAAGCAAATTAAAACCATCGCCATTTTGTTAAGTTGAACGGGTACGCGCCAGTTTTCGTCGCACTGTACCACTCCCCGTTGTGCCCGACAATCCACTGACTAGCCACTGTACGCTAGATGCTATATCTACTTCTAAAAGTACACCGCTTATTCAATTGCTATAATACCATTACAAATTGACGACTTTATATTGCCTTGTATTGGTAATTCCGCATTTAGCACAGATTAAATTGTTAATTCATGAAATTTTATGGGTAAATTTCCATAAAAAGAAGACAGCATTGCTAATTATACATTCTGGGATTTGTACATAAATAACGTAAAAATACAAAACTCCAGGGATACAGAAATATTCATATATAATTATATTGAACAATTCTTGACGTTGCAGTCTGAACGCAGCGCCAAATAATCAGATAACTTGACCTTACAAAGATCTTGATAATAATCTAGTAAACTAACTATTGTCTAATTTAGTTATTATATCGCGATAACAAAACCCATAAGATTTGAAGTGGTAACAAGTAGTACGAAGGCATTAGGCACTGAGATACCATTTACGAGGTACAGCACATATCTCACGACATCTATGTCGCAGCGGTAGTACATTCGACTGTCACGCTCAAGGGTCGCAGATTTGATTGCCACAAATTGTATATGTATGAATATTATATGTATGAATGCATGTATTCGCTATGAAATAAGTATTCTATAATAAACATAATAACAAAAGTTTTTAGATGCAGTATGTAGTGTTTATTGTTTGTCAAATACATTATTTAAACCTAAGGTACCTGCGGGTAAGAAGGGCCGCTGTCTAACAAGGTCCAATACTACAAAAACTCATTTCTAATTCATTTATTTAGATCCCATTCACGCACACATGTGAAGGACCAATCAGAAGGCTTAAATTCGAACTCGCAACTTCACGCGATCCGCCATCTTGTCAGTAGCCACGACGACGTCCGAAGAGTAGAACTACGCCACTCATTAGTAAAAAATTCACAAGTAGTTTAAGAATTTTAAGGCTAAAAATATCTAAATTTCATGTGATTTCTAATTAAGAACTATAACAAAATCATTATTACTGACAAATCAAGGTAAGTTTACCATTGTTTTACTTTTTTGTGTACATTTTTCATTTAATTTTGTGAAACAAGTCTAAGGGGCTAATGAGAGCCACTTTCTGGGCGGGTAATAGGGGCCGGCTCTTATTAAACTTATGAATCTTGTAATCTAATTTAATGACATATCAATGTTACCTTGATCGTTATTCTGAGTTGATGTATTAAATAAACATATTAAATTAGAAAAGTTTTAAATCAAATTTACTAAAAATAAAGAACATCATCCGTTCATCAATTTATACGCCTTTTTACGCCAAGTGGTAAACTTGTGAACTGACTCACGAAAACATAGTCAGTGGATTCAGAGCTACTGGACTCTATCCCTACAATCCAGAAGCAATACCAAATGAAGCATATGCTCCCTCTGTTCTGACTGAAAGACCACCAGAGCAAGAACATGTAGCCACAGTAGATATATCTCCTGCTCCTGGTCCTTCCAATATAAATTTACGATTAATTGATAGTCCTAGAGCGGACAGTTCCGACTCCGATCAGACATATTTTAACAGAAGTCCATGTTCACCATCTTTGCTACAACCAATTGGGCCTATCCCTTTATCACCACCATCTATCCCAGAAGCATATAGTCGCTTTAATAAGAAAATAGTAAACTACAGCTCAACTGATACAGATCCTGAAAATTACCACACTACAATCACCAGACCAATAATTTATAGTTCTGAGTCTGATTTCTCTTTTGACGAAGCATTGATTTCCCAACACATACATCGCCCAAATTTCGAATCTATAACTAATATATATAGTTCTTCCGATGATGAGAACAGAAACCCAGGATCAATGGAACAACATACTCCTATCCAACAGATTAATATTTCAAGTACTCATGTGGACGTAATAGGACGTGACCACCACCTTGTATCAAGCGACGAAGATTCAGAAGACAATATTCCTTTAGAAAACTTGAGAGTTCCTTCAAATTCTGCAACAACATCTTCATTCCAGCAATTGATACCCACACCTAATTATGTTGTTATTAAAAATAAACCAAGGCGAAGAAAGGCAATAAATTATAAGGGTCGCATAATAACAAAAGATTTATTCAAAGAAAAGGAAAAGAAAAAAGAAATGAAAAGAAGCAGGAAAACAGAACACGAATCTCAAAGATATGAAAAATCACGCAAAAAACCAAAGACAGACTTTAAAAAAAAAACAAAAAAGACCAAAGAAATAGATGACGATAATGATAAATGGTACTGCCACGCGTGTAATGCTGAACGTTGTGAAGATATGCGTCAGTGTCCACTCTGCCGAAAATGGTTTCATGAAGAATGTCTTGGTTTGACCAAAGAAGACATAGATTTTGATTTAACATTTGATTTGAACTAAATTAAAAATAAACATAAATTGATCTCTCTAATTTTTATATTAAGAAAATGTTCGATAGTTGATTTATTTTACTTTTGTACGTTTGTTTAGAGGTTTTATATGTATATTTTAAATTATTTGGAGTAATACCAAACTAATTGATCTCTTATGTTATTATTTAAAATCCTTAATGATTGAGGATTGATTTAATTTGCTAGTCGTTATTTATTGTTTTTATTTTTTCATGCGTTAGACATAACTTTTTCTATGATAGGTAAGTTTCTAAGAATGACTGATATATTTGTTACATATTAAAAGATTTATAACGTAATTTAATATTTCATAGGTTGAATAAGGGCCATTACTTTTTTTTTATAATTTAAGTAGATTCAATTTTTATTTCGTGTCTTAAATTGTGAAAGAATAAAGAATTCTTTATTCGATAACATAGTATTTTTGTTTAAATTATACACAAAAACTCTTTTATTGTTATTTCTTTGTTACATAAGTTTAATAAGGCCCATTATTGTTTTTACCCCAGAATTCGTTGTAGCTCAATTGTGATTCAATGCCTAAATAATAATATAAGATAAAATAAATGAGAAGACTGAGTATTAATTAAAGTTACTCTTACCAAAAATAAAAGCATCTGTGGTCTTTATTATACTGCCTAAGTTTAATAAGGGCCATAGATATGGTTTTAAAAATACCTAATTTTTGATTGAAATTGTGATATTAACAACAATATTTATACGGTTTTTGACAAATAAAACTTTGAATATTTCTCTTTTGCTTTCATTTTTTGTTTAATTTTTAAATTTGTACCTTTTCATGAGATTTAAATTAAGGTGGCCCTTATTTACCGCAAGTACCTTATATTTGTTCTGCAACTACTTAGGAAACTCCGATTTTATAATATTGCTCTGAATAAATAAAGCAAATATGTGTTGTGGAAAACTGTTACTGAGGTGATGGGACTACACAGAACTTCAACGGATATAAATAATGTGCGGTCGATGGATCAATGGATGATCTCTGTAGATGTTTAGTTTTACCCAGAATAATAAGCGTAGAGAATTGAAGTCTGACCAAAGAACTCAATTTCCTTATGAAGTATGGTACAAATAAAAAACTTTTCTCTCTAAAACGCAAGAGCTTCTGTTCTTATTTTTACAATTTTAACAAATTGACAGTTACCGTGAATAAGAGATTACTCTTTTATATGCTAAACAATAACAATTTTACAAGAAAACTTTGTTGTTGGTTTCATCTTCGAAATGAATCTTTACCTACAACAAATTAAGTAAATTCGTTCATGTATAGAAATCCAACTTGAAACAAATCATATCAGTTTTGTGGTTACATTTAAGAGCTATAATGCCATAACTTACTTTATTTAAATGCTTTATTTTATATTCATGACGAATAGAAGTAAAACAGGAGTATGTGGTGGTGGTAACCGCCCGAGGGCCGGCCTCAGGTGTCCTACTCTGGGAAGACCCGGACCATTTTATTTCAGGTCCTCCCCGAATCGACACCATGCCTAATCAGGCCCCATCCCAGGGTAAAACACTTCCCTCCTCAATCAGGCTGCCATTCTATCCCCACCATGACTGACCTAGAAAAGATAGATAATATCTTGTATTAAAACATTAATATCATAAGAAAACTTAGATCGACTTGGTCGCACGTGCAACCAGTGCTAACTAATTATAAAATGCAATATTTTGAGAGTATATCAAAGTAGGTAGGTAGGTAGTAGCTTTACGGATTTAGATGAAATTTTGTACAGTATTTTTTTATTAACATATACAAGTAGGTATGCCTTCGGAAACCAAATCTTCAAAGTTGAGGTATTATACTAAAGCAATATGACACTTTAAACAGAACGAATGCTCGGTCAGCTCCGTGGATCACCTGATGTTAAGTGAGTACCACCACCGCTGGAGACATACACGTCACAAAGTCAAAGTCATATTTTCGTTACCGCCCTTTGGGTCTCAATTCGGTGTAGTTTTTCTAATTTGTTACTTCAGAGATCGAGGCCCGTACCCATTGGAGTACTTACTACCCTTTTGGTCCTATTCTAATTAAAAGAAGGAATGCCTTAACTAAGGGTATAAAATTAAGAAATGAAGAATACATTTAATTATTATTCACCTTTTTGTTTTTACTACTTTTCCCCATAATACCACCACCACACTTAATTGACGCGTTTCACTGATTTAAATTTGAAGTCGGTGATACTTTTAACAGGTTATTAATATTAATTTAAAGTAACGCCGACATTCTAGGTCCTTTAGCAATCAGGGGAAGCCTTCTTTCCCCGGGATAGGGCCTAGCTAAACGCGGCGTCGATCCGGGGAACCTGAAATAAAATGGTCCGGGTCCTCCTCGGAGTAGGTCGCCTGAGTCCGGCCGTCGGGTGGTTTTTAGTGGAAACACCACATACTCCTGGCTCCTACATCCCCAAGGAGCCGGAGGAGATCCGAAGGGATTCTCCAACGCGTCAACAAAAAAAAAGAAAGGTACTTTAGCAAAGATTACCTAAATAAAAACTTAGAAACGTTCTAGTCTATTTCAGTGATTTTTCATATTGATGGGTTAGTTGCATAACAAAGAATCGCGTGTTTCAAGGCAACACGCGATTTTAACAGTTTTACCACCACCAACTCGTACGAGCATACAAATTGATCGACCCTGTCAGTATTATATAGGGCAAGACAATGTTTCAACTGAAGCGTCACTGTTGGAATAAAATGTTACCTGTATTGTTCGCTAAATATACGCGCAAGAACGATACGGTATATACCCACAGTCAATAGATGGCTGTTGAATTGATATCGACTGATAATTGTGATGTTTGACTGAGTATAATTATCCGTGTGGTGACGGATTATAAATTCTGAGTGTCACCACTCCTGTTCATCCTGTGGGTGTCATAAAAGTCGACTTAGGGAGCAAACTACGCAGGATAACAGCACTGCAAAGAAAATGAAAACTTGAAACAAACACTATACCAACCCGTCTGGCCAGAAGGTCTGGTATAGTAAGCCAAAACCTACTAAGGAGAGGTTTGTGTCCAGCAGTGGACTATTAAAGGTTGTTGTGATGATGATGATTAAGTCTAACGTGGGAGAGTCAATTGTGCCGACTCGACCGGAGTGAAACGACGGTCTTACGGAAAAACGGTCATCGCAATTTTTTCGTTGCCTTTCACCGAGTGAGTTTGGATGAACGGACCTGTTGGTCTAGTGGTTAGTGTGACTCTTGAGTTGCAGGTGTCCATGGGCGGCGGTAGTCACTTACCATCAGGTGACGCATTTGCTTGTTTCCCCCTTATACCATAAAAAAGAGTATTATTATCATCTTCCGCCTTTATTCGATTTTATTTGAGGTTGCTGTATAGTGCAACATTGTTAGCAAAGGATTTTGGCTAGTTCCTTTTATGGCCGATCGCTTCCTTGACTCTAACCTTCTTAAAAATGTACCTACCTAATCATTTTTATACTGGGTAAAGACAGACGGCAAGTTAGAAGGATAAAGCAAGGTTTTCAAATGTCGTAAGTCTCAGACAGAAAAATGGGAACACTACTGCAGCAGCTCAAAAGAAGCCAGGGTCATGTACCAATATATCCATTATTTGGGGCTATCCATAGTTTACGTCACACGAATTTTGGGACCTTTTAACCCCTCTCCCCGTGCTTGTCACAGGTTGTCACATTTTTAGAACCTCCTCCACCCTGATGTGACGTCACACATTTTTCAATTTTATGCATGTATTTAAAAATAATTAATAAATATAGATCGAGATCGTAAATTTTTAAAGTTTTTCATTTACATATAAGTCGAGTTTTATTATTTTAAATTTTAACATGCGATGTCACAAAGTTTTTGACCACCACCCTGCCCGTTGTCACACAATGTCACATGTCAGGTGACACCCTCTTCCCCCCCCCCCACCCTTTAACGTGTGGCGTAATTTATAGATGGCCTCTTTGATTGGAGATGTCCTTAGGAGAGGAACATGACCTGCCCAAAGTTAATAACCGGCTGATCGATGAATAACCATCCGTTTTCAAAAAGCTTCTTAAAAGAAGAAATCAGGCAAAGTCTTATGGCCACTCTTTCAAAACTAAGATGGTTAACAATACGTAGTGAAATGTATTGAAGAGCTGTTTTGTTATGCTATAGAAACTTACAATGGAGCAACGTTGCGAGGCGTGGTTAGAATCCACCTCCGCGGATGATCCCGCGCCGTCCTTACCATTGATAATATCCTGCGCACACACACAGGCAAATGCTGTTTGTGGGTTGGTAAATTATTTAACAAATATATTTTATTGATCTTCTACTATAATGCACTCAAAGAATAACTTAGAATAGAAATAATATGATTATATATACATATATAGTGTTAAAGCTGGCTTTCTTGTGAGAAAATGTGATATTTTATGTGCTACCCTGTACTAGAAAAAGCATAGTCTGGTGACCGCTCGTTTGCCACTACATTGTTACGAGCGGGGTATAAAATAAATAAAAGTTGTCGGTTAATTACTTTTATTGCACTGTAATTACAAACACTCACTATTATAAAGAAGAAATCACTATATAACTCGTTAGTCGCACTAGAAATTCGCCTTGATGTTAATTCGCTGTGTCGTAAAACGATACTATTTCGTAAGGCCAACACGCTCCGCTTTTATAGCGCTATCCAATTTACTAGAATGATCCCAAGTATTCGATAGTCCGTTCCAGACAAATTAGAATATTCCAGTATCAGTTAAGCGTTACTTGCAGCGCCATCTAGCAATGTAAGTGTCAGAATTATTAATCACAATCTCAATAGTTGTATTTAACTCGATACTAGATGGCGCTGTCAACAATCGAAACATTTAATCCTATGACGCAACAATTTATGCTAGAGGGGGCAGACGACAAACAAATGTGAGTATAGTGTAGGCTTGTAATGTTAGTTCATATTTTTAGTAACTTGGTGGTTTTGAACGTTTCCACGGCCT